CCCCCTTTACTATGAGTGACATTTTCTTTACAGGTCTGATAAGTTTTTTATTATTATATCCTAGACATTTTGGATGATATAGTTTAAAAACAAGATTCTGTTACCTTCCTTTGATAGGTGTTAATTTTTGTTCTTGTAAGCAGCTCAATTACGAGCTGATCATCAATGAATTTGTGTAGGCTTGGTTTTTTACTTTTATTGTGAAAAGTCCAGGTTTTTCCTAAGCCCCTAACTTGGTAAGACTTAACTTCAAATGCTGTTTCTCCTGTGGATTTTAGTCTCAGGGAAGGTCTATAGAAGGCAGGGGTTGGCAAATTATGGACTGCAGGCCCCATACAGCCTGCTCTGTTTTCATAAACTTTCATGAGAACACAGCCATACCCATTCATTTACATATCACCTATGGATTCTTTGAGGCTACAATGACTACAATGACAGAGTGGAATAGTTTTTAATAACATTACTGTGATGGTGGAATTATTTCTCCTTGCAGTTATATCTGGTTGTGCTTTACATTTCATGTCTAGAATTTTGTATTCCCTGATGAATTATACATTTTATCATTATACAGTAATCATTTAGTCTCTAGTAGTGCTTTTTGTCTTAAGGCCTAGTTTTAAAATATTAATATGGTTATACCAATTTCCTTTTGCTTAGTATTCAAGCGATACACCACACTCCACACTCCTTGACGTTTTTCTTCCAAAGTGGGGAAAAAGCACTTCCAAAGGCAAGCACTTTTGACTCCCTCCTTACTTCTAAGTAATACGCATATACTGCAATATTTTGGTTAGTGATTTTTAGACTTGTATCTATTGACTTCCTATGATGGTTGGGATTTAGCTAATACAACTATCCCCTCAACCTCTCCCTCCCCATTCCAATTATCATCATTTTTGACTAAATATTTAGGGTTTTTATTATGACTGTGCAATTGTTNACTAATACAACTATCCCCTCAACCTCTCCCTCCCCATTCCAATTATCATTTTTGACTAAATATTTAGGGTTTTTATTATGACTGTGCAATTGTTCATAGCTGAGCATTTTTGTATACTATGATTTTATTTTTTAAAAATTCCTAAAATGGGCTATTGCCTTGATTTGTTGGTATTTATTGATAATTCCTGCACCTTCCTAATGTTTCTTTTTCTTGAATGGAGGCATGTTCATCTTGTTTAGGATTAGTATCTTTTTAGGCCTGCTGCAGGACTACCACTTTAGGAGTCTGCCATCCTAGGAATTCTTTCTTCCTTTCCTCTAATTAGGATTCTGTTCTCTGGAAGTCTTACTCTTCCTTGTTATTTTTTTTTCCCTAAAGGGGACGTGTTTTCCCACTAGCTTTTTAGGGCTAGAAAGGCAGTAGTAATTAAACAACAGGTATAGTAATGCCAGCCCTAGCAATTTCTGTTGTTTAGCTCTAGAGATCCAATCTAAATTGGCTGTCCTATACAGCAATTGCACTGCCACTCTGGGATCTCCCTTTACCTTCCTTTACCTTTACCTCTCTCCTGTATTAGATCCTGTTTTCTGTACGTAGGTCTTCCTTTTTTCTGGTTTATGTACTCATTATGAAAGAATGCGTTCTTCAGTAACTTTTTTAAAATTTTATTTTTGTTTAAAATATTACAGATGTCCCTTTTTCTCCCCAATGACCCATTCTACCCTGTCCTATCTCCCTCCCCAGTCCCTTTCCCCACCACTGTCCGTGTCCTTGGGTTGTGCATATATGCATATTTCAGTAGCTTCTAGAGAAAGGATGTGTGGGAGGTGACATTTTTGAGATTTTCTAAGTCTGCAGAAGTGTTTTTTCTACCTTCAAACTTGAATAGGTTAGCTGGGTATAGAATTCTAGGTGTCTTAGTTAAGGAATATACCCAATGTACTACAGTTCAAACAAGATAGTTTATTCCTCTCTTATATTGACAATCTGGAGGAAGCAGGCAGGAAGACAAGGTCCCTCCAAGCACCCAGTTTCTTTGCAACTTATCGTTCCACCATTCCCTACATCAATCCTAAGCTGTTACCAGCAACACACATGAATTCAAGCCCACAGGGAGAGGAAAAAGGGGTGGGAAGTAAGCAATTTCCTTTGAAATTGTGACCGAGAAAGTAGTGCATACACTGCTCATGTTCCACTAGCCCCTGTGGGGTGAAGTTATTTTCTAGTCCATCTTTTTATTTGGTACATTGTCTTTTTAGGTCCAGTTTTACACAGGGGTCTAGATCCAATCTCCATGTGAGGGCTCTGGTATTCATTTTCTATTTTGTGTGTGTGAAGCCCAGTAAATGCCAAAATTCCAGGCCTCAGGGATAGGCAGGGGCCCTAGCAGAATCACCAGCTTAAGCTCTGAGAGTTTTGCAGCACCACTGCCTACAAAGCCCCAGGTCATCTGGCTCTGTCATCTTGCTGCCCACACCTCCCCTCTCCCTGACACAGCAGGCTCTAGCTCCTCTGGCCTCCCTGCTATCCCTAGAGCTCACCAAGCTCTTTGCAACCTCCTGGCCTTTTCCCATGCCACTCCCTCTAGATATCCATTTGGCTGAC